TACAGACTCGGTTTTCTTGCCCGAGGCATGTACTTGTGTGTACACGTCGTTTAGTAGCTTGGCCTCAAGGGCAAGGTGAGGCGCCTGTATGGGCTCTGTTTTTCCCCACAGTGCTGGAGTGAACCGTAGGCACTGTAATTAGCATACGCTTACGTGAGAATAGCTTTACTCGGAGGGAAATCAGCAACATGTACAACAACAGCTCTAGTGGAGCAGAGTGAGTTTTAATTAAGTTTACATTTGTTATGAGCAACCTAGGAAGATTGCGAGAACATAAGGAAACAAGGTAGAGAGAGTCATTAATACATAAAAGTTTCCTAAGCCAGTCTGCAGAGAGTTTGGCTCTTTCCCGCTTATTTTATTGTAGGTAAGGTTTTTTGTACAAGGAAAGCAGTTAGAACGGTGTTTAACTCAAGGACATATAGAATCAAAGACAGTATTTACTGATATAAATTTACTCATTCTGAGGCAGTAAAACCACTATTAACTGGTCTGAACTTCACCCAATTAATAATATTATGGCTCATTTAAGAAACCCAAAAGATACATGCGTAAACCTATAACTTCAGCCCTACCGTACCCTTCTACCATGCGCGAGTAAAATGCTCGACCGAAAGTAATGAAATAAAAAGCCATGCAAGGCTTAAGTAGTATGAGATACTGGCAGTGAACGAGTGAGCTCGCAGTTAACCGAATGCTGCTGCCACAAGTCACTTAATTATCTCGAAAGACTGAAGTGTATTAAAAAAACACCGCACCTGCTCCTTATCAACTTTTATTGATTTATCCTCTATGGGTTATACCAAAATAAAAAAATGTTTATCAAATATGAAGTAGCTTTTCCTTGGTGCAAACGATGACAAAAACAGCAGAAGTTATTGGATCCATAAATTTCGAGAGTGCTCGTCAACTGCTTTCTTTCGCTACATAATGTGAGTTTTGTATGGGAAAATACAAAATTGAATTCGTACAGAAAAGGTCAATGAGGTTGTAGAACCTGGTCACGAAGGCTAATCAGTAAATAAAGCAGATTAAAACACAGCGGAAGGTAAAAGTGAAGACAAACGTTCAATCGAAAAGGTGAACAGGGATATTTATATATCAGGGGGTCGGAAGTAAACTGGGCAAAGTTAGTATAACCACTTACCCCAACTGCTTAGATAGGTCCGATTTTGCCCACCGTATAGGGGCTGCCTCCAGGTAGCGTAAAGTACGAGTTGTTCGTGCCCGATCAAGTATTCGGAAAGACGTTTTGGGGTCCACATGATGGCCCGTAGCAAGGAAGCATTTAGTAATAGGTGAAGGAGGAGTTCTATTTTCCTGTTTTAATAGCCAACTAGGCAAGTGCTCTTTAGCTCTAGCGACCAATTGCCGTTGCGTTCGCCATTTGTACTTGCATCCAATAGTGCGTATAAATTCGTAAACACAATTTGAAGTGGCGTGCACGAGCAAAGCACTGGATTGCAGAAGCAGCTCAGCAGCAGAGCATGTCTTTTCGATGGTGTTAATCAAGTGTCTCTTGATTGTACGGGTCATACTGCGGACCCCAAAACTTCTTTCCAAGTAATTGTTCAGGCACGAACAATTCGTACCTAGCGCTACCTGGAGACAGCCTACATACGGCTGTCAAAAGCGGAAATACATGGATCCAAAAAATTCTGCTTTTTTGTAATTTTTGTAATCCTCAAATTATTTACCAAAGGTGGAACCTAGTAAGACAGGGGGATGCAAGGTAGATCGAGTCACGTTTGCCGCCCCCAAAACTGAAACTGTAAACAATGAAAAGGAGTAGAAACGGTTATGATAATTGACCAGTGTACCAATAGGGAGTCTGCGTACCAGTAGGGAGTTCAAAGATGTTTGCTTATATTTCGCTTACTAACTTGACTTGACTTGACTTGATCGTTTTGTTTTGCTTGGTAAATAGTCGGCAGAAAATACTAAAAATCTGAACGGAAAAAGCTCTGACTGTTGAATAATAAATGACGATAAGACCAGTTCCAATCTACTCAGCGGTTAGCAGAAGTACCAAACCTTAAACTTTGGAGTAGATTAACAGCTATGTCTGCTGTTATCCAAACTAACAACACAGAAAATGTTGCAAAAGTAAAGACAAAACAGTGAACGTAATATCAATATAGAAATAATCAAGGACCGATTTGTCTTTATGATATATTGGCGATGTGCCTGAAGACACTACCACTTAGCCATGTTCACGCATCACGCTCGGAGTTCGAAAATGGACACCACCGTGCCAGTTTAAATCAGGCTCTGTAAATTAATACATGTCTGCTATATGTTAAATGTCTAAGGCATACGTCACAAAGCAGGCTATCCACCTACCAACACATAAATCAGGTGCTCATGGACACTGCGTGTCATACATGCATAATTAAGTATATAATTTGTCTCATTAGGATAGTGCAGCATTCTGGGAAACCTTGACAGGGTCACACTACTGAATACTCAAATGAAACTATTTTACCATCTGGAAACTTGTGGCGCCCATCCGATGTCGACCGCAACTTCGTTACTGCTCTCTTTGCATCATCACAGCCGAAGAGGATAAAAAACGAGCAACGCGGACCAGAAATGGGCATGTAAAAATTATTCGGTTGAGAGTTCCTACTTTAAGTTACACATAAACCATCTTCAAATAAAAAAACAACCC